AAATCTGCAGACAATATCTTCATTTTCGCCAACGAGGGAATGTTTACATTTGCGCAGACCAAGGGAGGGACAGGCGAAAGGACGTACATACTGAGGTGCATTCCAAATTTGAAACCGCTGAAAAATGTATATACTTTGCGGGATCGCGGATGCTATCTGTTAGGCGTTGCAAACGTCTTGACAAAATGAGTGTATCTTCCTTCTTTGGTAATAAATATTAAAAGACTTTTTGGTGCACAAGTTTATACCGAGCAGAAAATAAAGCAAATAATAGTTAAGCTAACGACTTTTTATTCCTTTTAATAAGTGTTGATAAACAAATCAAACTAAAAAAATTGTTTTCGCATCGATCTTCTGTTTACACCTTAAGTATCTCCCCCGGAACTTCTAAACAAATACTGTTTGGCTTACGTCGATCATTTTTGTCATATGCGTGTAAAATGAAAACCAATTTGTGCCGTCCTTCCATATTTATACCTTTCACGTTAAATTCGGCCTTCATTACAAATGGTTCATGATGATATTCTACCTAAATTTGAAATGCGTATAAATCTCTACAATATGTACAAGTATACCGTCTACAATACGTACACCTTTCCCCAAACATGGAATCTCCTCCCCCTCCTCCAGAGTAATGTGTTTCGACCATGAATCATAGACCATAGAGTTGGTATCTCTCATATCTTTGCAAAAATCGCTTATTTTTACGGATAAGAAAGTTTGGTCCCAGGTGCCGCGTGCATACTTTTTTAATTCGATATCCATCTGCAAAAATAATTGATCAGTAATTTTTGTTCTATTTCGTAAGGCTGGAGGAGATTTTCAATAAAATAATCATTTCTTCTTCCCTTTGTTCGGAAAGTCATGAAAGGAAAAACTTTTTAATCACTTTCCTCGCAATTAAAATAAAATAAAATAAAGCCTTTTTTCTTAAAAAGGCTTCGTAGATAGCACATAGATGAAAGACGGAAAAACTGAATTATCCTTTTTTAATTGCTAAGATTGGTATTTACCGTTACGCGATCAGTTTGCTCAATATCCCAAAGGATTGTTACAGTTCCCCTTGCATGTATTATTCCCTCATCGTCAAAGGAATAATCTAAGATATTTGCCCAATCGTTAATTCCATTCATTTCTGGTCGATCCGCACAATCCACAAATACATCAGAATCTTCGGGTATGAACCGATATAGCGCGGACTGCACTGTCGTCAATATTGATAAAAATATGACCAGCAAGACGTCTAAAGAGCTCATTGTATTCCGTCTGAACTGAGAAAATGTACTAATAAATATCGGTCGGAACGTTGTTCTATTTATTGATACCAACGTTCGTCGAAGTTGTGTGGGCGTTGAAACAATAAACAAAACCAGCTAATGTGATGTAATCGCGTTAATATAGAATTACAAATGTAATATCCTGCCATTGTGAAAACCTAGTGAACGGATGCTAGTTGCATGCCAGGGACACGGTTTAACAAAGATCAGGTGAACCATTTAGTTTCGTTCATATTGTTGAGCATTAGTCAAATGAAAAACACCTTACATAAGTCTCTGAAGCCGAAAACGTTCTTGACAGAACGTACTTCTTACTTTGCAGTATAGTCGGGCGTCCCAACAAACGCAATCGCAGCAAGTTTTTACTTTATCTTATAAAGAAACGTTCACGATACGAGACAGTACTGGCATTAACTTATGGTGTTTTAGAAAAGTGACAAAGATAAATGAAAAGCTTTCCAGGTTTTCCATTATTAGCCGCGAAGGTTAAAAGCCTATGTTTGTGAGACAAGAGCATCTATGTTGTCACAAGCCCCTAGGTAGGGAATTATAAGCCCTTGTAACTTTCACGTGAAAGGTGTTGGCCAGGGAGCACGTAACTTGAGAAATTAAGAAATGGTTACACTAAAAGAAAAGATGCTTAAGAGCTACTTCGGTCCCTGCTCTAGGATAATGTTGTGAAGATTGAGCGGAAATGTAACTTTAATAAAACTAGCGAAGGAAGAACCCAAACATTTTTCATATTTTGTGCAAAAATTCCATTGAGAACCTAGTAGGTCGGTAGTAGGTAGAGCGTTTACTGGTCCATCTTGCTCGACTGTAACATCTTAACTTGCCTTCTTGTTTAACACTAAGTTATCTTAAGAAAACCCAAATTTTAAAAGCACTTATGCAAATGCCTTCTTAATGAATCATAACTCTTTGCATTGTAGCATGTAAAGCATGTTGCTTTGCCAATTAAATCTAATTAAAAATTCTTTTTGAAGTCCATTTTTTAACTTTAATATCCTAAGAGCTTTTGTCTTGAGGTTATTCAAAAAAAAAAAAAAAGGATTTAATGACTTAAGTCGTTTCACAATTGTTAATATTCACTTTTCGATAGCTTGAATAATTTTCGGTCAAACATTAATACCATACATATTATACATACATGTATAGATCTGATAAAGCAGCAAAGTCAATATTTTAATTGCGCATGCAATCGCTTTTGCCCGACTTGCATTGCAATGACATGCAAAATTATAAATTATTGCTTTGGGCGAAGCATAAGTTATTGGTTTTCAATCAGAGTTGGGTGCGTATTGCATATGTTCTATCACATTTTCATTTAATATCTAATCTGCCCGAAAATCGACGCATCTAAATGCATATGTAAAATACAAAATATCTAAAATCAAATTAACGCATACGTATATTTAAGCCCCGTATTGTGTACTATGTACTATAATAGGTCTACTTTTCCGATATGCATATGCACATGCAGTAAACGTTATTGCAGTTTTATTGTAGGGAGACATTCTATATATTCTATGTTTGGAATCATTATCGTCAATATGACCGTCAAGCCTTCTATCCTTCTATTCACCCTTTTACCCAATGTAATAAAACCTGTAGAATTTTGTTTCATTTTAACGCTTTTTGACAAAATTGCATTTCTACATTGCATTGCATTGTGACTATAGCATGCATGCACGTTCACATGCGAGCATATGATAGAGGCAAGCATGGCATGGCATGGCATGGCATGGCATGGCTTATACGATGAACACTTGTTAACAGCCTTAACTTTGCCCATAACAAATATGTATATACATACAAACATGCATGCATTTGTTTGCAGGTTCATGAGCATTTATGTGTAAACATGTGCAATATGAACACACATTTCCACTTATATATCGATGTGCTTTTACTCGATTTACATACAAGCATATGCTGGAAAATGCATTAATGCTCCGCTCACTGTGTTGCTATTGTTTATGCTAAAGACTCATTACTAACTGGATAATTGCTAAAGCAAAAGGCGACAAAAGATGCTTTCATTTCATATCGTTGCGATTGTTGTTCGATTAGATACGAATTATATATAATATTATTATGTTGCAATAAAGAGTGATACATTGCTTTTGTGAGAGTAACGCTTCCAGTCTCATTAAAATTACAACAAATGCTACAAGAAGTAGCATTCGACTTTGGCCGAATCTGTTAATACTCATCGCTAGCAAGATAGAGAAAAGAAGAATCCACGCTTTCAATTTATTGATCGAATTTAGCCATCGTATATATCGTATATGATACAATTTAGGAAACATATAGCAATTAAAAACCATGCTTATGTTATTCTTTTTATTTAACGTCCAATTGTTTGTTAATTATGGCTGCGCTTTCGATCTGATCTCGCCGGCTCAATGCTCAACATCAAATTGTAACCTAATACCTGGCTCGATACTTTTCAGCTTATAATTTTTAGGCCAAGGCAATCTATTAAATACGTTATACATATATTTCGTATAAACACTTACATGGAGAGTGGTTCGAAGAATAGGTCTCCGCGAAATGTCCTTGAATTAAAACTTTGACAGAAATGGATGGACATTAAACGGACATATAGACAGAAAGTCTTACGATAGACTTTTTAGGCGTTACATATATTCGCACAGAAATATTACACCCTGGACTACAAGTGACGAAGTAACAAACTCATATCCTACATAATTTAGACGTAGAGGTGAACATATGGCCATCAAAACTTTCCCTCTTTGCTAAATGACATTTTACTTGGCAGCGTCTCTCCGTACATTCCGTTGCTTAATTGTGCGTGCACACAATGCATAAATCCCTCTGTTTATGCTGCAGAGTATTTACCTCAACAGTTCCTCCTCTTGCATACATCTATTGGAAAGAAGCTATGGTAAATAAAGACGTCTAAAAAGACTTTACCGTTGATATCGCTCGATGGATTTTATATTCCGGACTACTGGAAACATTAAGGCGTAAGCACACCTGAATGATTGGTAGAAAATATTCGACTAATAGTTACTGGCATGGCTTTGAATAATTTCATTACTATTGTTATTATGCGTTAACTTTTTTATTTAATTAATCATAGGATCAACATAAACAATCAATTTGTTTTATTTGAATTTGATCTTGCGCCAAAACATGATCTGTGACAACGAAGGCAATCGTTTGTTTTTTTCAACGTTATTTCAATTTTACAAAGACCAAAAAAAAAAAACAACTAACAACCAGTTAAGTAGGAATTGTGGTTAGCCATTGTCTTTGCTCTTTTCATTACTACCACTACTGTTCTTAATATCATTATGACGACGATATATAAAATGTTTTCTATTTGCGTTGCATATCAATGCATACACACACACACACGCAAATGCACGTTTATCAATAAAGTTTTATGACTGTACAACACAAATAATAGTGCATGTGCAAGTGTGCATGATGTTGTTAAAAGCAAAATGCGTATTTTATAATCAGTATTATTTGACGTTACGGAACGTTTCGCATACAGTTGATGACGTCAAGGTCACTTCAAGGATGACGTAAATTCATATACGTATACATATGTAAGCAGTTGTTATTGTTTGCAAGATTTTTTTTTCACTTTTCCTTTTTTCTTCATTCATATTCCTAGAAGTATATTAGGTTTCCCAATGCGGTTTGCCACACTTACTTCTGCAAAGCGAAGGTTAAAGTTCTTAAAACAGAAACTTGGTTCGTGAATAAATTCTAGCGGCTGTTTCGATCTTTACTAGCGTTTCTTTGACCAATTGGTAAGACTCATGCCTCTACGGAATCAACGTTCACCCAAAATTACGACCAAAACTAGTAAACTCTACCACATTGAGATTTGAATCTGAGAACAACGATTTGGTCGACGCGATTCTTATCTGCTCGGCTACGCATCCGGATTACTGAAAAGCCTTAAAATAAGTAAAAGCCTACGTTTTGCTTTAAATGGCCATCGATTTGTGTTCAGCCTATTTTGAATATAACTACGATTTACTTTTATCTAAGCCATATAATGCCTAGTAATCTACTTGTGACTTTACAACATTTTTTGAGGGACTAAAATATGTCAGCTGATTGGAATGATTTTCGAACGCTTGTAAACCACTATTAAGCCTTTGCGTTCCACCCTTCCGCCTAATCGTTGATTAATAGATAATGAGAGAGCATACGTGTAGCGCTTACGCTGATGTTGATTCCATATAATTTCATAAAATAATTTCGTTTGAAAACTCAAATTGTATTCAAGAGCATTAAGTCATTCATTTTGCCATTTCTTTCTTTACACATATACACACTTTTTTGCGTACTGAGACTGAACTTTTACAAAAAAAATTTAAAAACATAATAAAAATCAGCCGAAATCTATTTTGTAGCAAAAATGTCAGCAAATCGACATATATCCTCTTGTTTGCAATGTGTTTGTGAACGCTTTTGTTTCGTTAAAGTTTCCAGCGCCCCCCAAATCGGGTTCGTTAAAAAAGGAGGGGCGACTAACTTGAGAATTTTAAGTTGATATCACTGAAACGATGATTTTATCGCGTTAAACATTGAAATTTTTTTTTATAGTGAAGGAGCGATCCTTTATATATTTTTATTGGAGACCGCGAAAACGTTAGGTGTTCGGTTATCTCATCTCATCTTTACAGTAAATGTCAAATTAGCTCCACTTTTTCAAGATGTAAGAAAAGCAACTTATCTGAAAGTAAATTTCTTTCGAAATCTTTTATCTAAGTGGATACTAAAAAATAATAATCATTTTACAGGCCCTAATATAGCCATTTCTTAGGCGTCAGCTATAAAAGGTATATCTAGTCGTCATTAATAAGTAAAGTGCATTTAATGCTAGCGCCACGCTTGCGTTTTTATCTAAAAACTCATAGTAGAAGAAATGTGACGGGAAAAATTTGCTGCGGATATGATCTGTCAAATATTAAAACAATCGATCGATT